CCCCAACTTGAGTAACTGGTATACTATCTCCATTTGGGATTTTAACCGGAAGATAACCAGAGGCATTCTGTGAGTTCTTTAGCAAACCTGCATCATTCGTAATGTACTCGTTGCATCCAGAGTCGATAACCCATTCAGTCTCAGAAGTAAACTTACCCGCCATGTTGGCTGCTGGTTCGGCAGTCTGTGCTTCCCCATTACCACCATTTGCTTGGCTCAAGAAGTTCATCAGCTGCTGAACCTGCTCAGAAGACAACCCAGGAATGGTGACACCCGCCATGGAGGTTGTTTGTGCAGCCCGAGGGTTTTCACGACGCTGCCCGCGGCGCCCATTCTTCTCCGACTGACGAGACTTCTTTTCAGGCCACCCTATGAGCTCATAGCATGTTTCTTTGGTATGCCCCGTCTTTTGGCAATGACTACAGCGTGGCGGTTTGTCCCGCCGATCTTGTTTCTCACTTTGCTGCCCGGAATCAGCAGCCTCTCTCCCTTGCCGTGTTTGAAAAGCAGCTGACTCCACTGTCGGACGTCGGCTAGCAGCGATGTTTTTATGTTGCTCCTCCGCTGCAATCAAACGGTACGCCTCTGCCAAGGTAGGCGTTGGTTTCATAGCCAAAATTTGCGTCTTCACCGTCGAAAAACTCTCATCCAGGCCCATGAGAAAATCGAACAGATGTTCATTGTCTTGATTGTCTCGCACCTGCCGCTCAACGTCACAAGTGCATAGTCCACACTGACACTTCGGAATCGGAGTGATTCTTAGCATCTCTTCCCATGTGCTTCTTAGCTTAGTGAAAAAAGTTGAAACACTATCTTTTTCCTGCCGCAACAAGCTTAGTCCCTGCCGCAGCTCATACGCCCGAGGCGCCGAACCTTTCCCAATTCCACTACAGCTAGGGTTATCATACGTAGGGTGCATACAAGTCACAGAGGGAAAGACTAATATGCCCCTACTCACATATACGACCTACTCCTTTAAAAGAATGCGTGTGCATATCAGTTTTCTTTTGGGTGATTTTTGTCTTTGTATTATGGGACAGGGTTTCAGGTTAGCCAATATTGCTCCCTAGTCCCTCCCTTATTTGACTTATTTATGGTCGACATTATCGGAAGATGCTTAATTAGTAGATATTGATGCACACCTGGCCGTAGGATGGTAACTTTCATCCGATCCGTTCTACTCGACACATTTGACCTATTTTGGTGATGATTGATCAGACGACCCAACACAATAAATCTCAAAACTGGAATTGCATGGCGATGAACAAGATTGTGAATCATATTTGCTCAAAGCTTAATTAAGAGGCAGAGGGATGGGAGCCGAGACACAGTGATTTAGGGCCAAGGCCAAGGAAACACCGAACAATCGCCGGACACTTGTATCCAACCAAGAAGCATAGCTAGCAAACAACCAGGGGAGACCAAGCTATGAATATGAATGACAACTTGGAATCTAAAGCTACCAAATTAGAGTAGTAATAGAGTTTCTAGACTTCTTTTATTTAAGTTGAAAATTCAATCGCTCTTGATGCAGACAGGTGGATATGGGATACTCTTCTCAATCTCACTTGTCTCATTCTTTATTTGTATTTTTGTCTGAATTATATGTAGTTTTACTCAAATTACTTAGGATGTTACTTTTATTATCTCATATTTTCGTTGTAATAAATTTTTAAATAGGTGAGAACCTTAATTTCTCGAATAATGTGACTACAATCATAATGTTATAGTTTATTTCTTGATTTTTTTTATAAAAAATAATATGTCAAATATTTTTCTTTTAAATTACATGCTAATATAGTTCGATCTTACATCCAGTCAACGACCCATGATAAATTACCTGGCATGGACCTGACATTCCATTGGGATAAACAATACGTATCCAAATACTCACCCCAATTTGCCCATCGCCATTCCCAATCACGATTTCGTTGGCGCATGAAACCGAGTCTATAAATGGATTGAATATAATAAATTAAGTACCATCCATTCCAATTTTGTGCAATGAATTCTCTTGAAAACAAAGAAAAGAAAGCGAGTCAAACCAAAATTACACAGAACAGGACAATGTTTGATTTTTATCAAGCTCTGGTCCTCCTGTTTCCTTCATGTTTGGTTCATTCTATTCTTCGAATTTGATTCGGTTTTAAATTATATTTGATCCACACGTGTGAACAAATGCTCGAAAACGAAATCTTTCTTACCAAAGGGTCGAATTTGTTTGTATTACCTATCTAGGGCAATTTTTATGAGATGTTATTGCTTTTCTATACCTTTAATTTTTTGGTTTTTTTTTTCCTTTTTCTTTTCTTGGGTAGAAGATGTAAACTGGGAGGAACTGGAAGTTGATCGATGGAGCGGGTGAGACCAGTGGCGGATTCAGAAAATTTTCACAGGGGTGTCCTCTTAAAAATTAAATTTAATTAAATAATAAATTAAATAATTCGTATATTAAAAATATCATACTTGTATGAATTTTTTATTAAAATTCATGATGTGTTTTCATATTTTGAAAAAATAATATAAATAAACTCCGTGTCTGCACTGTTAAAAAAAAATCTACATATCCTACTAGACAATACTTCACGAACTTATCACATATTTGATTTCTAACCTTGTTCTTAATGTAGCTCGAAGTAGAAAAGACTCTTTCAACACTTGCCATGTAACCATAAAATCAATTCAAAATTAAGGGTAGCGTGTACGTAGTTTAATTATTAGGTATTGAAAATAGTTGGGGATAAAGAAATAGCGTTTTAATGTTGCATGATGTTTAAAATAGAATAACAAATGAGTAGCAACATAATTAGAATATGTTTGATAATAGTAGTGTCCTAGGTTGGAATAACACGGACTACCACTTATATTTTGTTAATCATAAGCAAACTATTATCGAGGGTAGGATAATCATTTTTTCAAATGTTAGGGTGTCCCGAATTACCAATTATAGTTTGTATACCCATACGAAACTATTATCAGAGGTTGGATAATCGTTTCCCCAAATTTTAGGGGTGTTCCGGGACACCCTTAGAGACCCATGTATCCGCCCCTGGGTGAGACAGAAAGGATTTCTGTTCTGTAGTGTGGGGTTGGCGGTTTTGTTTGTCTCCTCCAAGGTTGACTTGATCGATCATAAGCTGAAAAGCAGGTATAATTGGAAAGACGTCGATGGTCAAACCCACTTATGTCATTTGTCAAACCACTCATACTGCCTAGTCCAAAATTAAGGGATATAAAATGTTGTTATGGTGTTATTACAAATAGGAGCCTTCCAATTAGGATAATTTATCTCTTAATTTTGTATGAACATATCTCTTTCACTTTAAATCGAATGTCAAATATATTTGTGTGAAAAAATTAAATTAAATATGATATACAATAAAAGATTCACTTTCTTTTTTTTTTAGCAAACAAAAAAAATCTTGTCCTTTGATACTGGCACTTTTTAAGTATTATTTTTGTGTTTGTGTTGTGCTTTATAAGATTTCTTATATTTATTCTAGTGCCTCTGGTATATATTGTTGTATTTTTAGTATAATTTTTGCCCATTCTGATGCTAAATTAAAAAATAAACAATTGGCGAAAATCCCCTTCAGAGTTCAGACCCAATTTCACAGCAATATTGAAACCCACAAGCCCAGAAGTTTTTGTTTTTGTATATAAAAAAGCTGGCTTTCTTTTTTTCCCTTTCATTATTATAGTGGCTGCAACACGCATTTGCCATCTCCTTGAGCTTTTTCTCAGGGACAATTATCTCCCTAATTTTGGCAGTCGTGATAAAAGAAAACCACACTTGTCATTATTAATTTAGTTTAACTAATATATAAATAACCAACCGGTGGATTAGCTCGATAGTCACATTCTCCCATAATAGTAATAATTTTTGGTGAATTATAATAACAAGTTAACTAATAAATTGTTTTTTTAAATATTCCTAACTCAAAGCTTAGAGCTGAAAGTTTAGTACCGGTATTTGTGATATACCAAATACCGTGCCAAATTATCACTATTTGGTATTACTGAATACTTATTTATATTTTAGGGATTGAAATTGTTCATTTTCAAGAGTTATTCGTTATTATACCAAAATATCAATAAAAACTGAAAATTAAAAATTAATGAAATATAGGACACAACCGTTGATTATTCCTCCCTCTTTGACAACTCAGAAACCCCATCAAATCCAATTTTGACTTCCAATTTAAGTCACTAGTCTCTCACTCAATCTCTTATTTTTATGACACCACAACGCATACACTCTCATTAGTTGTCTCTCATACACTCATACTCAATACCCTTTGTCTAGCTAGTCTCTTTGCCCTGAATTAATTACAAATACCAATTGAGATACCAAAATACCAAATTAATTTAAGAATTGAAATTAAAATTAATTTTATTGTGTAATTCAATATTCAAAATTTCAATATCCCAATACAGTACGGATTTCCATTCTATCAAAGCTGCTTTTGGCTTATCTATCTCACAAGAAAACAAAAGAAAAATATGGTGACAGTAGAAAACAAGAGTGCCCCAATTAAATGGTGGCAGGCATAGAGAAAGAAAGAAAAAAAAATTAATATTTTCAAAAGAAACAAATATTAATTTGAAACTCAATCTCCGAATCCTCGCCAAATACACCCACCTGTTCCACTATCAATCTATTCTATCATCATCGTTCATCAAAGCTAATTAGCTTACTACAAAAAAAGAAGCAAAATCTCCCCCTAAACCAGAGTAAGAGCTCATTATACTCTGTGGCTTCCTTACTCCTCCCAAAGGAAAAAAGTTCCCATCTTTACCTCCTCCATTGCTGCACCTTCGATTGCTTCCTCTTCATTATGCTCCCCCACGCTCCACTCATTCTCCCAATCCAGTTCTTGTAGTCTTTCCTCCCAGCAAATTGATTTTCCCTCCACTCCACCCAACTCTGTTTCTTCTCACAGAGGACTCTCTAGGTTCTATTTCTTCCACAGATCTACGAGCGGGAGAAACAAAAAAAAATGGTGTCGGAGACTTGGATACTGAAGATGGGGAACCAGGTGAGCAGCAATTTGAAGCACGCATTCCTTCTCGAACCCAGCAGCAGGAAGAAACCCACCAAGAGGGCGGCGGCGGTTACGGGACCCACGAAGGAAACCATTGGAATCCTCTCCTTCGAGGTCGCCAATGTCATCTCCAAAACCGTCCACCTCCACAGGTCCCTCACCGACCCCGAGATCTCCAAGCTCAAATCCGAGATCTTGGGCTCCCAGGGGGTCAGGAACCTGGTCTCCCACGACGATTCCCGCCTCCTCGAGCTCGCCCTGGCGGAGAAGCTCGACGACCTCAACAGGGTCGCCGCCATCGTCTCCCGCCTCGGCAAGAAGTGCGTCGAGCCGGCTTTGCAAGGGTTTGAGCACGTCTATGGGGATTTAATCAGCGGAGCGATTGATGTCAAGGAATTGGGGTTTTTGGTCAAGGACATGGATGCCATGGTTAGGAAGCTGGAGAGGTATGTCCATGCCACTGCTAATTTGTACAGTGAAATGGAGGTTCTGACCGAATTAGAACAAGCTACTAAGAAATTTCAGACGAACCAGCACGAGGAGAGCAGGAAGGCATTTGAGCAGAAAGTGATTTGGCAAAAGCAGGATGTTGGGCATCTCAAGGACGTTTCAATTTGGAACCAGAGCTATGATAAAATTGTGGAATTGCTTGTTAGAACTGTGTGTACTATTTATGCTAGGATTTGTGCTGTGTTTGGTGAATCCGTGTTGCACAAGGAGGATAGCAGTTGGTCTATCTCTTCACTCTCTCCTTTTAATACTAAGGATGAGTGCTGGGAAGTTTCAGGGCAATTAAAGAGGCCCTTTGTGCAGCAGAAGAAGCAGGTGAACAGCAAGGTTAAGCCTCCCCGGGTTGATTCCAGGAAGCATGGAGTTTCTTCTGTGCTTGAAGTTGGTGATGTCATGTTTCCTTGTGGGACGAGCCCTGGAAGGATGTTCATGGAGTGCCTTAGCTTGTCTAGCTCGGTATCAAAGGTGGATTACGATGATGATGACGACGACGATGATCGAAGCAGCCAAATCTCGAGCTGCAAAAGCATGATGAATTCTAATTTGAAACGAGCTCTTAGCCATTTGAGTTGTGGTGATGAAAGACAAGCGGAAACCAGCCCATTTGGTGGGCCGAGGAGCAGATCGACCATCTATGCCCCTCAAAGCACACTTGGAGGGTCTGCTTTGGCATTGCATTATGCCAACGTCATAATCGTGATAGAGAAGCTGCTTCGGTACCCTCATTTGGTTGGCGAAGAAGCGAGGGATGATCTGTACCAGATGCTGCCCACAAGCTTGAGACTTTCCCTGAGGAAGAAGTTGAAGTCGTATGTGAAGAACTTGGCGATCTACGACGCCCCACTGGCCCACGATTGGAAGGAGAGCATTGATGGGATGCTGAAGTGGCTTGCTCCACTGGCACACAACATGATGAGGTGGCAGAGCGAGAGGAACTTCGAGCAGCATCAGATTGTAGCGAAGAGCAACGTGCTGCTGCTGCAGACGTTGTATTTTGCTGATAGAGCAAAGACGGAGGGAGCCATATGCGAACTCCTTGTTGGGTTGAATTATATATGTCGGTACGAGCATCAGCAGAATGCGTTGTTGGATTGTGCTAGTAGCTTCGACTTTGAAGACTGTATGGAGTGGCAGATGCAATGTCGAGCTGCTTATTTCAACTGATCATTTGAAAGATAGACAAGGGAAAGAAACAAATCAGGATGAAGATCTTGAGGTTTGTTATACTGATTCACGTTGGTTAATTTGATTCTGGAGAAAAGATCCCAGTTGATTAATATTTGTTGCTTAGTCCAGAAGGAATGTGTTCTGGGTTTGGTAAGGGAAGTAAGTACATAGGAAGAAAAGAACTGTGATCATTTATCAAAGGGGATCTCTTCTCTAATTGTTGTATATTCTTGTTGGTTAGAACATATTGTCTGTTGCACAGCACAGCACTGCAATGTGGCAGCTTAGTGCTTTCTGTAGAATTTTGGAAGGAAGGAATTAGTGCATTGACATATTATATTGTACAAAAGGAATCTTGGTCCCTGTCCATTCTCTGTTGAACTTGCATGTGCCTGTACTCAGTTTGCCTTGTGAATGCCATCAGTGAATCAAACAATCCTCTTACAGTAGGTGTTGGGATGAATAGCTTTGAAAAGCTATAATGGAATTCCTAATTAATTATCCAGTATTTTCTCATAATACAAAATTAAGATGGATAATTAATAAAAGGAATATTATGGAGATAATTAGGAATAATTATTTTAATAGATGATATTTTAATTATGAGAGTAATTATCTCTCTAATTAAAATGTGACTTATTCCCAAAGAAGGAGGGAATATTCTGGGTTTTCTGCTCCTATAAATAGGAGATGCTCCAGACCCTCTAAACACACCTCAGAGAGCAGAAACACGAGATAGAGAGTGAGTTCATAGAGCTCCGGTTTTCGCACAAAACCGATGAGCAACAAAATAAGAATGACTGTTTTATCCTGGAGGCGACCGGCTGATAGTCTGCCGTGCGCAACGAAAGCAGTGCCGCGAACGTCTTAAAGAGAGCGACCTAGTCCGCGACTCAGCCAGATCGGTAACCCTATTTTTTCTGTTCGGTTTCTAACAATTTTAAGACATTTGGTTGCTGTTGGGTCACACATTGATCCACACGGCCCATAAGCCCAAAAGGGCACTCAAAGCCCACACAAGAGCAAGCAAGGCCCAAAAGCGAAGGCGGTCCGACGACGCTAACACTGAAAGGACCGCCCGACACGTAATGACCCGACACTGATGAACCGCCCGACACTCTGGATCCCACGAACGGACTCTGACAAGGCACACGGAGGAACCCAGAGGCGGTCTCGGGCCCCAACGCCAAGAGACCGCCCGACATTCTGGATCCTACGTACGGACTCTGACAAGGGGCGCGGAGAAATCCAGAGGCGTCCTGGAGCGTTTGACACAACATTAAATGCTCGAAGCCCGGTCGAGACTAGTATAAATACCCCTCATAGGATCACATTGATGGTAACTTCTACCAACTCCATTCTCTCTCTTATTTACTTTCTCCTCACTTCTCTCTCTAACTTAAGCATCGGAGGAGGTCCCAGGAACCCCCTGAGGACCTTTCTGCAGGGTTTCGAAGACCGCCCCCGACCATCGAAGCCGCCCAAGGCCAGTGGAGTCTCACAAACCGCTTGGTACATTCCAGGCACAAACATTTTGGCGCCCACCTTGGGGCCCTACTACTTTGTGGCGAACAAGATGGGAGACGATTTCGAAACCCCCCTCAAGGGGATGACCGAAAACAACACCCTTCGAGGCTTATCACCGAGGGTGGAAGATGAGCCCGAGTTGGAAGAGGTGGTCAAGAACCAAGGGATGCAAATTGCAAGCATGCAAGACAGCCTTTCCCAAATTCTTCAACTCCTGAAGACCCGAGACGACCCCGCCGAGGGCTCGAGGGGAAAGGCGCGCGACGAAAAGCTGAAGGGCGCTCTCGTCCTCGACAGCCCTGCTCGGACAGAAGGCGGAGGACTAGAGGCCGACGACCCGGACCTCAACTTTCTAGAGGAACACCTGCGGTCAACCTTTGGGAAGCACAAGAGCCCGAACGTTCTGCAGAACCCTCTATCGAGAGAGCTCTTCAAGACTCCGGTCCCCCCGAACTTCTCCTCTCTAGGACTTCCAACCTATGGGGGGACGTCAGATCCCGCCGACCATCTTTGCGCGTTCATGTTAAAAATGCAACTCATCAACGCGACAGACTCGGATCTGTGTCGTGCGTTCCCGGTTACCTTCAGCGGTCAATGCCGCACTTGGTACACCTCCCTTCCGGAGGGAATTATAGAAAACTTTGAGCAGTTTGCGATGCTCTTCTCCACCAAGTTCGCGTCTCAACGACGTCGCAAACTCACCGTCTCGGCACTCATAGGTTGCCGGCAAAGGAAGGAAGAGTCGCTTGCTGAGTTCTACGACCGATGGAATGCGATAGCTTGCGAAATAGACGGTATCTCCCCAGTCGTGGCCGCCGGAAACCTCCGAATCTCGACAACTAGTCTCGAGCTGAAAAGAACGTTGATAAAAAAGGAGGCGACCTTGGCAGCCTGGTCTGACTTAGACCAACTGGTACGACGAGCGATCTTGTTAGAAGAAGCGCTAGCCAACGACGACCGAGGCCCACTAAACCGCCCCAGAGGAGACGCCTCAGAGCGTGGAGAATCCCGGAGGGGAAGGCGGTCCCCGGACCGAAGGTCGTACCGGAGCCGGTACCCCGATCGAGAAGGAAGAAGAGATGTCCTCTCCACCGACAGAGAAAAGGGAAGGGACCGAAGGAAAGGCGGAAGGAAGCACGAGACATCTTCCACCCAAGAACCGCAAGAAGGAAAAAAGTGGTGCGACTGGCACCAAATCACGACCCACGACACCACGGAGTGTAGGGAGTTCAAGGCCACGCTCCGACATCTGGCCCCAGGAGACCTCAGAAGCAAGCTAGAAATGAGGCGGTCCCACAGAGAACACTCAATAGAAGAGCGGGAGGAGTCCCCCAGTCCCGAGCAGGACAAGACGAGACGCACAAGAAAGGAAAGATCAAGGTCCCGCTCTCGAAACAAGGCCGCCTCCCCGAGGCAGTCTCCTCCCTACAGAGCTCCTCGAAATGAAGACGATGGGATGGAAGTCATAACGATTGCAGGAGGTCGGAAGCGCCCAAGAACCGAAGGAGACCGCATCGCTCAATGCCTTAACGTGCAGCGGAGAGCACCGACCGAGGTCGCCTTCTTACCGTCCGAGTTGGCCAACAAAGAAAACTCGGAAGATCCCTTGGTCATTTCCTTTCGAACCGCCAAGTTCAAGGTCACTAGAGCCCTGGTTGATAATGGGAGCTCGGCGGACATACTATTTTACTCAGCACTCAAAGGAATGAAAAAGAGCGTCCAAGATCTCAACCCTTCCACCACCAGCTTGGTGGGGTTCTCCGGCACCAAAGTCCGTGTCCTCGGCTCATTCACGCTCAAAGTCACCATAGGAGAAGGAGGAATCACAAAGACCAGACCCGTGGAGTTTCACGTGGCGGATTGTCCTTCGGCATATAACGCCATTCTTGGACGCGGCTTCCTGGCTTCGTTCGAGGCGGTTGCGTCCACATGCCACCAGATGCTTAAATTCCCAAGCGGAGGACAAACCGGACGCGTTCGAGGTAACCTACAAGAGGCTAGAGAGTGCTACCAAGCCACCATCGAACACCTCGAAGTCGATCTGGTCGACACTAGAGGCGACGTCCCGAGACCGGAAGCGGTTGAAGGGGATGTGGCGGTCGCGCTGGACGCAGAGCGGCCAGAGAGGACAGTACGTATCTCCGCGCACCTCGCCCAAGAGGAAGCCCAGAAGCTCCTCGCACTCCTCAGAGAGTTCCAAGACCTCTTCACGTGGGGGCCAGAGGACATGCCCGGAGTCCCCAGAAGAGTCTCCGAGCACCGCCTCTCAGTCAAAGCCAAAGCGCGACCCATACAACAGCGAAGGAGGCATCTGTCGGTCGAAAAGCAAATGGCACTAGAAGAGGAGGTGCGACGCCTCCTCAAAGCCGGGTTCATCAGAGAGGTCAAATACCCCACTTGGCTCTCAAATCCGGTCTTTGTACGCAAGGCTGGAGGCGCTTGGAGAATGTGCATCGATTTCACCAGCCTCAATGCGGCCTGCCCCAAGGACGCATATCCTCTTCCCCGCATTGACCAGCTCATAGACGGGACCGCCAATCATGAAGCCCTCAGCTTCCTGGATATGTTCTCCGGATACCACCAGATCCGAATGGCGGACGAGGATCAAGAGCTCACCGCTTTCATGACTCCCATGGGCAACTTCTGCTACGTAGTAATGCCCTTCGGACTGAAGAACGCGGGAGCGACCTATCAGCGGATGGTGGACGCGGTCTTTAAAGAGCAAATGGGGCGTAACGTGGAGGCCTACGTCGATGACGTGCTAGTCAAAAGTAAGAAGGCGGCCGACCACCTGACCGACCTAAGGGAAACTTTCGAAACACTGAGGAAAAAGAATCTAAGGCTCAACCCGCTCAAATGCGTCTTCGGTGCGGAAGCGGGAAAGTTCTTAGGGTTCATGATCACAAAACGAGGAATAGAAGCCAACCCAAAACAAATCGAGGCCATACGCGCTCTGAAGCCGCCAAAGACCATCAAAGAAATCCAAGCTTTTAATGGAAAAATGGCCGCGCTCGGAAGATTCATCCCGCGGTCCGCCGACAAATGCTCTCCATTCTTCCAAATGCTGAAGAAATCGGCATCAAGGCTCCAATGGGGTTGCGAGTGCGACAAGGCCTTTCAGCTGTTGACAGACCAGCTCAGTCAACCACCTGTTTTGAGCGCCCCCATAAGCGGAGAGCGACTCTACCTTTACCTGGCGGTCTCCGAGCAAGCTGTAAGTTCAGTCCTGGTGAGAAGAGCGCAAGACGGCTCCGACCGACCTGTCTACTACGTTAGCAAGGCGCTTCTTCCCGCCGAAACGAGGTACCTGCCCGTCGAAAAGGCGGTCCTCGCGGTTGCCTCCGCGGCAAGAAAGTTGCGACCATACTTTCAAGAGCACCCAATCACGGTGCTATCTCACCTCCCGCTCAAGAGCATCATGAGGGGCATGGACGCCTCGGGTCGGTTGACTAAGTGGGCAATCGAGTTGA